GGGGGCCTGCCTCTGTCTTGGTGGGTCCTCACAAAATTTCTGAGAATAAGTTTAACAGGAACGTGCAAGATTTGTATGAACAAACGTGTAAGATAACACGCAATAAAAGAGATTTGAACAAGTAGAAAGTATCAGCATGTTGTTGAAGAGAAAAAACATACAATGATATTAATTTGTTGAAGTTGTCTATAAGTTTAATGGAATCTAGATTATAACAGAAAAGTGGTCTCACAGGAAGTGCAAGTGAATTGGGACCTGAGACCTTTATGTCATAACCTGCCTGGGCCCCTGCTGCCCAACCCGATGGCTGTAGCTGCCCCCAAGCCCCTCACTGTCTCTTCCACTGCTCACCTCACTTTTGGACTCATCCCAGGCTCCAACTCAGTCGCTTGCAGCCACACCTCACCCGTCTCCCCAGCATTGCTCACCTCCTGGGCCCCCGAGGGCACATGCTTTCCCCCCTCACCTCAGGCCCCGGGCTCAACATTTACCTCAAACCCAGTGCCTCCCCACGTCTTTGTCTGGTCCCATTGTCACCTGCAGCCTGGTGTCCCCTCTGGCCTCACTACTGGCCCACGTCTTCATCTATTAGCTTAGGTTTTAGTTGGCAATTTACATGAAAACAGCCAGGAACCAGGTGTAGTTGTGGAGTTTGTAAAATTTAATACCACTCCGTAGCCCTGGCTGCTGTGGCCTAGGGGTTAGAGCTCCTCAGTCAGGGCGTGTGTGGGAAGCAGCCGATCAGTGTTTCTCTCTGTCTCTCTCTCTCTTCTCCCCTTCCTCCATCCCTTTGTTATGTCTGAGAATCAGATCCCCTGTGCGGAGGAAAGACAATCACTCCACAGCTGATAATGTAACAGCAAAAGGGACTTTTAGTCCAACTAGCTGGGGTTCAGTCATATCCAATGCAGTGAAATTCTGACTCGAACCCTGATCTAAATTTACAACAAGCTTATATAGGGCTACAGTGAGCAAGCAATCATTGTCCTTACAAGGGTTATAAATTCTTTAGGAAGGGTGGGCTTAGGATGTTTCTCAACCACAGGCGCCTGAAGCTTGAGTGCACCTTGTATTTGTCAAACCCACCAATTTAAGTTAATTCCTGGAACTGCCTCCACCCTCTGCAGTTTACTGAGTCACTCATGTATGCCTTTTGTCCTGCCCTGGGGCCTAGGGGTCTGCCTCTGTCTTGGTGGGTCCTCACACCTTCTACTCTCTCTAAAATCAATGGAAAAAATATGCTTGGTTCAGCATCATGCTAGGCACTGAAAGGTCTTCACATGTTTGTGTCTCTACTAACTAGACACAAATATTCCAACAATTAATGGGAACATTTGAGAGTCCTCTAGGAAACTTTATCCATGTCACTTTAGGATACATTTCATTCTTCAGAGGAAACCTCACTCCTTTCTTTAAAATGGTCTGGTTTATTTCAAATCTTTTTCTCTCCAATTTTTCTCAAAAGAATATACAACATTACCATTCCAAATTAAACAATACTTGAAGGAAAAGGTCAGCAAACAACAAAGGAACCCTGAAGGAGTTGGGTAGCAAGCTTCCCAGAATCGCAGATGTCTCCTTGAAAAGAGGGAAACATTTCTGCCAAGAATTGAAAACAGATCCTTATGTTCTGGGAGGCTTGCCCCCGGGAGAGTTGTGGCCTTGGGGAAAATGTTAAGCATATAAATCAGAACAAAGCCACTTGTTCTTGCACATTTTATGGTTTCTACTGATCACTATCTCTCACACCTGCTTTCCTGTGGCTCACAATAAAAATCGCTGGATGGTGAGGGGGGTTGTTGCAGCTCCTCCAGAGCCTCAACCCTCTGCATCTCCACCTAAATTCTACATTCTCTGTCTCTCAAGTTTCTTCGCATCTCGGAAGCACAATTGACGCAGCGAGCAGGGTCCACAGCGACGGTCTCGGTAAGTCACGGGAACCGGAGAGGGATACATGCGATGGAAAGCGACGCTCCTGGGAAAAAGGGGGCAGAGTCCTGGGGACTCCCCATCCACCAAAACACAGTATACGAGGTTGTTACAGAGCTTGCTGGCGAGCTCTGGGGTAAAAGTGAAAGAGAAACAGTTTAAAGAGTTATTCATGGCGGTAAAAAGACATTGTTATTGGTTTCAACTGAAAGGTAAAGCACAATTAAATCTAAAAGTGTGGAGACAAGTTATGCGGGCTCTTAGAAGAGCACAGCAGTTAGGGGACCCTATTCCTATGGGGGTATGGTCATTATGCAATTTAATCTCCACAGCAATTGCCCCATTTCAGTCGGACTCTGAACACAGCACAGATTATGAGAGGCCTGGTTTTGATAGAGAACATAGAGGGTATGAGTCCGTGGGGCCCGAGGGGCGCCCTCTTCCGCCCTCACCAGGAGGGAAGAGACAGGACAGGAAGGGGCCTGAAATATTCGGGGAGGAGTTTACATCAGACTCGGAGTCTGACTCCTGGGATGAGGAATTCGACGAGGATTGGGATATTTACCGCATCCTTACGGCTCAAATCCAGCAACTTGCTGAACGGGTAGATGCTCTGCAAATTCCAACCAGGGGAAAACAACCTGATAAGAGCAGAAATTATTAAGTCCTCCTGAACTGGGAATTAAGGCCGGACTTTCTTCACGCCCTCTCCTGAAACCAAGTGCTCCTCCTCTTCCATTTTCTCAAATGCCTGTTGGACCTGTAAGATTTGCTTTCCCTATTGAACTGAAAAATCTAACAGTTCAAAAGTTATTGAATGACCAAGAGGGAATTCCTGCTACTGGGGAGAGTGATGATTTCTTACAGCTCATAGGTTTTCCTATTACTAGACAAAGGTTCAGGCTACAACCCAACTTTCCTCAGGGAGGAATGAATGTTAACTTTATGCCCTTTGAATATAAGGGTTTGAAAGCGTTTAAAGAGGCCATTTCTAGCTATAGAATGCATTCCAGCTATGTTACTGGCTTGCTTAATAATTTTGCTACAGAACCTAAGCTTATTCCAACACATTGGGAGACATTAGCAAGGACTATTTTAGAACCAGGAGAATATCTACAATTCAAAACATGGTGGAAAGAGGAGGCAGATCATATTGCTTGAGTCAATGCACAGCAAAATCCCCCCAGACCAACTATGGAGGAATTAATGGGTACGGGACAACATAGCTCTTTGCAACAACGAGCTCAGCTAAATGATCCTGCTTTAGTGCAGATTCGAGGAGTCTGTCTGCATGCTTGGAATAGAGTTGAGCCCCCCAGTTCTAATCCTTTGTCATTTACAAAACTGGTTCAGAGTATTAATGAGCCTTATACTGATTTTTTATCACGACTTAGAAAGGCTGTTAATTGGGCTGTAGCAGACCCCAATGTGCAAGACATTTTGCTGAGGACATTATCTTATGAAAATGCTAACTCTGAATGTCAAAAGGCTCTTCGCCCTCTTAAGGTGCAAGAGGCCCCTCTAGATGAATATATAAAAGCTTGTCATGATATTGGTTCGCCATCTCATCATGCATATCTATTAGCTAGTGCTTTGAAGGATGGCTTGCAAGGCAGCACTCAAAAATGTTACAATTGTGGGAAACCTGGACATTTTCATAAAGATTGCAAGAAAAATAAAGATGGAAAGAATGGAAATGGAAATAGAGCTAGTAATCTGCCTCCATCCAAAAATCTGCCCACTGGGTTGTTCAGGAGATGTGGAAAAGGCTTTCACTGGAAAAATGAATGTTGATCTAAAAGGGATTAACAAGGGAATGTCCTGTCAAGAAACTACAGATCGGGCCCCAAGACCCAGGGCCCTGGGGAAAACAATGTGGCCTTTCAACAATGCCAATCTCAAGGGGAAATCAATTACTCCTCCATGCCCACACCAATGTTTCAGAACTAATGCATGCTACCCAGGGGAGTGCTGCACTGGACCTTCCTAGTGTGCACAGTGTTACACTAGCCCCGGGTGCAGGAGTTCAGAAGTTTTATACCAATGTGTTTGGGCCTATTCCTGAAAATACTGTAGGACTATTGTTAGGTAGAAGTAGTTTGACAACACAGGGAATCTTAGTGCACACTGGAATTATTGATTCAGACTATTTAGGTGAAATCTTGGTCATGATCAGTGTATCCAAAACTATTAATATTGATGCAGGGCAAAGGATTGCACAATTGCTTGTATTACCATATATTAAAGGGAAAGTGGCACCACTCCAAAGACAAGGAGAGTTTGGAAGCACAGGCAAACAGATTTTCTGGCATACTGTAATTAATGATATACGGCCCAAAATGGAATTGAAGGTAAATAATAGGGAATTTGAAGAACTGTTGGACACAGGAGCAGGTGTGTCTATTATAGCTTATCAGAATTGGCCGAAAGAATGGCCTTTGCAAACGGTTAGGGCTCAATTTACTGGAATCGGCACACTAACCAATGTATATCAAAGTACTAAAGAATTACAGTGTGTCGGGCCAGAGGGACAGATAGGACATTGTCAATTTTATGTGGCTGAGATTCCTTTAAATTTGTGGGGAAGAGATTTGTTGACTCAATGGGGAGCCACTTTAGAGATTCCTACTATATCTAAATCTGAAAGACAGTTCATGCTCAATTGTCATGGTTCTGCAGCCAGAATAGCATTTCCAAAGTTAGAGCAGGGGCCCCTGTACAGCGCTTCGCTTTACAACTCACCTGGAAAACGGAACAACCCATCTGGGTGGAACAGTGGCCCCTTCATCAAGAGAAATTAGAAGTGCTGCATGACTTAGTACGGGAACACTTACAAGCTGAACATATTGAGCCTTCCTCTAGTCCATGGAATTCCCCTGTGTTTGTGATAAAAAAGAAATCTGGAAAATGGAGAATGTTGACTGATCTTAGAAAAGTTAATGAGTGTATTCAAGCCATGGGTCCTTTATAGCCAGGAACACCTTCACCAGCTTTAATTCCACAAAAATGGAGTATCAATATTGTAGATCTAAAAGATTGTTTCTTTATGATTCCCTTGCATCCCAAAGATAGAAAAAAATTTGCCTTTACCATCCCTACACTCAATAACGGGATGTCTACTGAGAGATATCAATGGAGGGTTTTGCCACAAGGCATGTTAAATAGCCCTACTATGCGTCAACAATTTGTGCACCAACCCCTACAAAAAATCAGAAAAGCTTATCCTGATAGTTAATTGAGTCTACTACTATCATGCCTCAAAAGGTGACCATTAGAAGAGATAGTCTAAAAACGCTCAATGATTACCAAAAATTATTAAGAGACATCAGTTGGCTACGACCATACTTAGGGATCCCTACATATACATTGACTCATCTCTTTCGAACTTTAGAAGGCCCACTAGAACTAGATAGTCCATGGGAATTAACCCATGAAGCAGAAACGGAATTAAAATGGATTGAAGGGCATGTTCAAAGGGCTCAGATACATCACATAGAGTCAATGAAAAATTTCCAGTTGCTGATATTTCACACCCCACATACTCCTACAGGATTGTTAGTACAAGCTATGAATGTTATTGAATGGGTATTTCTGCCACATCGTAGTCAGAAGAAAATGGAAGAGTATAGTTCAAAAATATGTTATATAATTATCCAAGGTCACAATCGTTTAAGAAATTTAACTGGGAGGGACCCTGATGTAATTATTGTGCCATTCAATAATGCACAAATTCTAACAATGTGGCAATTAAATGAAGATTGGTAAATTGCCTTGTCTGATTTTCTTGGAAAAATTTCTAATCACTATCTCAAAGATAAATTATTTCAATTTCTAAAGAAAACACAATGGATATTATCTACTATAGTTCAAAAGGAACCCAGTAAGGGACCTATATTTTATACAGATGCTAATAAGGCTGGAATGATTGGGTATTCTGGGGAAAATATTTCCTGAGTAGTAAAGACTTCTCTAACCTCTGTCCAGCAGGTGGAGATATCAGCCATTATCCTATTACTGCAAGAGCAAGAACAAACACTTAATATAGTTACTGTCTCTCAGTATTCTGAACTCACAGTTAAACATATAGAAACAGTCACTATTATTGAGGATTCCTCACCAATTAATTTGTTATTTTTGCAACTACAGCAGTTAATTTGTGCACGTAAATGCCCGATCTATACCACCCATATAAGGGACACACACAACTTCCTGGACCAATTGATTGCATCAGTTTTAAAAGCCACAAAGGCTCATGCTTTACATCACCAGAATGCAAGGGCCTCAAAAGATGATTATCATATTTCCTGGAGGCAGGCTCATCATATTCTGAATTATTATCCTATCTGTACACAAATCCAAGGGCCTCAAATGCCAGAAGGGGTAAATCCTTGAGGCGTTGCTAGTAATGATTTATGGCAAATGGATGTAACACATTTGTCTGAGTTTGGGGAGTTGCAATATATACATCATTCTGTAGATACTTATTCTGGATTAACGTGGGCAACCCCCTTACCTAATGAAAGCTGATGCTGTTATAACACATCTTCTTGAGGCATTTGCAGTGATGGGTCTTCCTAAAGCCATTAAGACAGACAATGGACCTGCATACCTGACAGGCAAAACGCAACACTTCTTTTCTAAATATCATAAACAACATGTCACAGGCATTCCTTATAATCCACAGGAGCAAGCAATTATGGAATGAGCTAACAGAACCCTCAAGGAGATGCTGCAAAAACGAAAAGGGGAATAGGGACTCAGTCACCTAGACAGAGAATTGCAAGAGCTCTTTTTACTATCAATTTTTTGAATAAAGACACTCAGGGTGCTACTGCAGCTGAGAAACATTGGACTTGTGAGAGTTCTTCAGAGGTACATCAACCTGTGTATGTTAGAGATGTTCTTAGGAATACCTGAATCACTGCTGAAGTTTTGCGGTGGGGCCGTGGTTATGCTTATGTTTCCACAGGTCAACAGAAGTATTGGACGCCTGTAAGGAAAATCAAAATTAGACATGAGCAAGAGAAGGAGGCGTGAATTTGACAACTTAACTCGAACCATGCAGAAGTTAGATCTTCGTGCACAAACCATCACTGTCCCTTTGCCTCAAACACAAAGGGCTACGGTTCCTACTTGGGGCCAACCAAAGAAGATGAATCAGAAAGCTGAACAAGTGTTGCAAGAGGCTGGACAGCCGGCAAATGCAACGGCCCTTTCCCTTGCCGTGCTCGCTGTTATTTCCACACAGGTAATGCCTATCCAAGCAGAAAACCACACTTACTGGGCACACGTCCCTAATCCACCCCTAACGGGAGTAGGGTGGTGGGATTCTACTGTTCCTATTTATACTAATGAAACATCGTGGATGCCAGGACCTTTTGATACTCAAGGTCCAATAGCTCCTCATGGAGAGGGGGTGATTATTCCCTTTTATGAAGTAGGAGTAGAGGGTCTATCCATATGCATAGGAGTTTCTGAGCATTGCTTAAAAGTTCAGACTGCTGCCTGGGTGTCTATAGTCCAAAATTCTACTAGGAAAGATGAAAAATCAAGGAAATTATTTTCACTCCAGGGAAAGACTTTTAGCAGCAACATCAGCAGCAGCAGCCCACCCTCTCCTGAATGGCCACCATGCCGGACCACCACGGCAGCATCTTGGAGTGACTGGGTACATTGGGAACAATGTAGAGGTGAAGTAGCTCGGGTTCTTATTAATACTTCCTTTGGGAGTGTCATTGATTGGAGCCCTCGTGGTTCTGCCCAAGCGAAGAGTCAAAGTTCAGACTTACGGTGGCTGTGGCATTCTGATGGTCAGGGTGATGGCGCCATCCAATGGCATGGGGGGGCATGTCTGCGAGTGCGCCACATCTAATCGGCGGGCCCTCTCAGTCCCACCTATGGAAACTGATGAATGCATTAAACCCTATGCTTGGAATGGGAATATATGGCAAAACATTAGGACTAATCAAACTCAGTTACAATTTACAAGGAACTTGACGCGTTGGACACAGGCTTGTGTCCGATTGCCATACCTTATAATGATTGGGCAGGTATTATGGAGTTCTACTAACTATACTCTGACTTGTCATAATTGTTCTTTTTATGCATGTGTGAATTTCTCCACCCCCTTTAATAGTTCTTTACAGGACATTTATCTGCTGAAAGCACGTTCTGGGATATGGATACCGGTCCAATTGTCCCATCCTTGGCAAGATTCTCCAACCATGATGTTGTTTCAACAGTTGGTAGAATATCTGAAAAGAGGCAAAAGAATGATTGGCATGATTATTGCCCTTATCATGGGGCTTATAGCTCTCACTGCCACTGCAGCTACGGCTGGAGTAGCCTTGCACCAAAGCGTGCAAACTGCACATATACAGCAATGGCACACTAACTCTGAGCAGTTATGGACATCTCAGAGGTGGATTCACTCAGAAATTAATGCTAGACTAGGAGATTTAGAACAAGCTGTAGTTATGTTAGGAGATCAAATAGTTTACAATGTCAGATGGATCTTAAATGTGATTGGATCACATCTACCTTTTGTGTCACTCCTGTTCCTTGGAATCAAACACACTTTCCTTGGTCTATAGTACAAAAACATATTTTTACTACTTTTCAAAATCAACTACAACTAGTTTCTGGGACTGATTTAATACAAGGGCTGCAGGAAGGCTTACAAAAATTGAATCCTCTTAATAGTCTTAAAGCATTAGGAGGAGGTATGGCTGGAATTTTCATTTGCTGTTGTGTTGCTTTTTGTCTCCTACACATAGTCTGGAGAGGAGCTCGCCGATCGCAAAACTTAATCAACAAAGGACAGCAGAAAGCAGCTGCCTTCTCTATCCTGCTTCAGCAAATTCAGCAAAAACAAAAAGGGGGGAATGTAGGAAAAGATCAGCAAACAACAAACGAACTCTGAAGGAGTTGGTTAGCAAGCTTCCCAGAATCGCAGATGTCCCCTTGAAAGGCGGGAAACATTTCTGCTAGGAACTGAAAACAGATCCTTATCGTTCCGAGAAGCTTGACCCCAGGAGAGTTATGACCTTAAGGAAAATGTTAAGCATATAGCTCTCAGAACAAAGCCACCTGTTTTTGCACCTTTTATGGCTTCTACTGATCACTGTCTCTCACACCTGTCTTTCTGTAGCTCACAATAAAAATCGCTGGATGGTGAAGGGGGTTGTTGCAGCTCCTCCAGAGCCTCAGTCCTCCGCATCTCCACCTAAATTCTACATTCTCCGTGTCTCGAGTTTCTTGGTGTCCTGCGAGCACAACAATTACTTATTTTATATATTTATTTGATGCATGGTTGCCGGAGCCCGCCAGCACATTCGAATGGTCCTGAGGAAGGGGTGAGGATGAAGAAAAGACAGACACAAAAAAGATGGGATCAGGAGGGCTGCAGCTCATGCCTGCTGCCAGCTGCCGGCCCCGAGTTTATTTTCCAAGCTCTTTTTATTCCGGTGCTGTTGTTTTTGCTGAACAGCACCCGGTCCTGTTTTCTTCCCCCTTGCCTGATACTAAGTAATTCCTTTAAGGCCATATGACTGCTCTTTCTGAGTAAACATCCTGCCTCTTGCAGGAGCTCAGACCTTGGTAACTAACCTTGTCTCGGCTTCTAATAGGAACTTTTTGGGGAGGCTTAAGTCCTTGGCTTGGTATGTGGCTTGACTGTCCCTTAACCCTTCAGGCCGGGGCCAGCTTCCTAATAAGCCTTTCTAGAATTTATGGCCACAAGCTAAATTAGTATCGCCTTGGTGCCTCAAGGTCTGGGTCAGCGAGCAGGAGAGCACATCTGCAGCTCACCCAGGCAGCTCCTTCGGGCCTGGGGCCACAGGAGCTCACCCACATCTCCCTGGGAGCAGGGGAGCACATCTGCAGCTCACCCAGGCAGCCCCTCTGTGCCTGGGGCCACAGCAGCTCACCCACATCTCCAGGGAGCAGGGGAGCACATCTGCAGCTCACCCATCACTGTCCTGGGGCCACAGCAGCTCACCCACATCTCCCCGGGAGCAGGGGAGCACATCTGCAGCTCACCCAGGCAGCTCCTCCGTGCCTGGGGCCACAATGGCTCCTCACACATGGTTCTAGCCTTGCATTGACAACGGGGAAAGGCACATAATANTCACACATGGTTCTAGCCTTGCATTGACAACGGGGAAAGGCACATAATAAGAATAGGGTCACAGCTTAATAATTATTCACCTTACTAACTATAAATGATAGGTTTTCTTTCTATACCCTGGGAAACTGGAGGATGTGTTGCAAGAAGAAAAACAGGACTG